GACATGAAGCCCCATCAAAAACCTCTGGGCCATACTCGACCGGCAAGTCAAGAAACAACAAAAAAACCCAACTTCGAAGTGCAATCTACTCCAAATTTTGAAGCAAGAGTGGGCGAAAATCCCATAATCTAAAACTGACGAGATGATTCTCACGATGCCCCAAAGAATCAATGAACTCCACGAAGCGAAAGGAAGATCTACTAGATATTAATTAAATTATAAATATATCAATTCATGTGAATATGAGTGAAAAATTTCATTTTTTTCTGAAAAGGTGGTGTCTATTTACTTGTGACCACGCTGTGTATAGTGTTCAAGTGGTTAAAACAGCTGAACCCTCCTGGCATCCTTTGGCCCCCTATCAGAGAATAACCTCAAGCTATTCCTTAAACATGCATGTGTGTTACAATGTATTCTCTTACAACTTATACCTTCCACAACTGCAAAGAAGCAATTAATCTACTTATACTATTCTCTGTTCTAAGAGAATCTGGCAAAATTAGTTTTGCATATTGCTTGAAATTGTGCAACTTTTAACTCAAGATTAAGTTGCTTGAATTCTAAAATTAATAATTTTACCCTCTAAATTGGACGTAGCAAAAATATTAAAAACATACATATTTCTTGCCTACTAATTCATTAAAGTCTGTTCTATGATGTGGCATCACATGTACATGTGTGGATGGTCAGATGTGTGAGAAAGAAAAAAACATACAAAAAAGTTTCCATTTTATTTTTTATTCTGAATTTCCAATTAATTTACAAAACAAGCATAAATGCACATTCTTATAATGGCAATAAAATTACTCTACTATAAAATTTAATAATTAAAAATACTAAATATTTATATTTTAACACAACATTAAACAATGATGACATCTATTAATCAAAAACTTTGTTATTGTTTGGCTAGTTTTTAAAACACTCAGAAAACTATTCAACCCCTTATTATCAAGGGTCAAGGTTAAAAATATTCATTTTTTTAGATGCACCTCATTCTTCTAATAAAGCAGTGTATTAATACAGAGTTGAAATGGGTTGTTTTCATAAATGTACATATATATATAAGTTTGAAGCAACTGAATCTGTAATATAAAGTAAAATATAGACATCATTTTTAAATACGTGTATAGAAATATACATAAACTTTGTAAAAGCAACAAAATGCCGAGAGAAATTTATTAATGTAGTTTTATGGTCTCAGCACAAAACTTAATTCTAACGAAATAAACTATTGTTTTATCAATTATAACCATTGGTTTTGCAAAAATGAACTGAGATCAGTTTTCTGAATAAATAATTCATAAACCCATACAAATTAAAAAACTGGTACGATGTTACTTAAATTCATAATAACATGGTTATTAATAAATTATCTACCGTTGGTACAGCTAATTGCACCTACTCAACAAATGTAATGTTAGATTGAAAAAAAATTATAATGCTGAAAAATTTAAAATTAACAGTTCATATACATTTATAATATTTGTATAAAGGAAAAACAACAACAAAAAACTAGCAACATATCATATATTTACTGAGAAAATAACATCAAATTATTATGTTATCAAATAAAAATAACTGACAGCACACTTTCCAAGTGACTGCTTATCAATTTTAAAATATAATGTATTGGTATATGTTTTTCAAATGACAGTTTTATCAACAAGGTTAAAGTATTAAAACTATATGAATGTTTTCTAACTCCCAGTCTTGTTACAAAAAAAGAAAGAAAAAGAATTAAAAATATCAGCATTTTTCAGAAGTACACTGTTTTAGAAAAAGATTTAATCTTTCAGCATATTTTATACACAATACTCTGACAAAACATAAGTCTCAACATTATAGAAATAACTTTTTGTCAACAGTAGAGAATTCAAGTAAATTGTATCTTTATTTAGAAAAGTATAAAATAAACACAAAGTAAATTTTATAAAAAATAAAATTATCACTATTTTTGAAAGTGCATTTTTATCAAAAAAGGAAAAAGTGAAACACAGGTAAGTTTTCCAACATTTTAAAGTAATTTTTTGTTTGTTTGTTCTTAAACACAAAGTTACACAATAGGATACCTGTGATCTGCCAAATGCAGGTATCAAAACTCACCATTTTTAGTGTTTTAAGCCTTCTGACTTACTGTTGAGCTACTGGGAGGCTTTTAAGATGATGAAGTGAATTACAAGTATGATATTATTTTCAGAAGAAACCATTTGAAGATGTTCATGAGTAAGAATAGTTGGTTGATTAATTTTTCACACAACATGATGGAAATATATTTATAGTCCCAGTGCAACTTTTATTGATGATGTCTTAATGCTAACTTCAAAAAAAATATATATTTTTTCCTTTGATACTACCCTTCTTTAAATATTGAATTGAATATTAATGCATCATAGTAAAATCTTTTATGTAACAAATCAAAATGCTTGTAACCTGTGAAACTACATCCACACACTATTTTGGGGTAAGAGAAATCCACATAATCATTCCTTTTAAACATAATTTTTCCTTATTCTCTCAATCTCAAAAAAACATTAAATGGCTATAACTGTAAAATGCTGCATTTATAATTATATCAGTATTCTTTTTATTAAAAATAATTTTGATCCATTTTTATATCAATTTGTTGTTTAGTGACTGTTAACAGATATTTTTTATAGCTTTCAACAAATAAAGCACATATATCTAACTTCCAGAAAATATATATATATATATATATATATATTCTTACCCAAAGAAAAACAGATATATACAGTATTCAATTTATCTTTGGGAACAATAAAAAATTTGGAGTATGTAAAAGTTTTTGTGTTTAAAGGATAAAAATTAAACAATTTTTACATTATAATTCTGTGAAACTAAGCCTCTTGTGTGGTAGTTAAGAGTACTAGATTTAGACATGTTTAAAGTTAGATATAAAAGTTAAAAATATATTCAAATGTCATTTTGTTTCAGAAAAAAGTGTAGTATTAATAATAATGAACTATGTTGTAAACTTCACGATACGAGTGTTACATAATACTAACATTGTAATTCTGTATTGCAAAGAAAGGAATAGCGGCATAATTTCAGTTCTATAACATAAAAGTTAAATAATTCTTATATTATAATTCTGCATTATTAACACAATTTCTTATTTTCAAGTATTTAAATTCAACTGTTTTTAAAATTAATTATTTTGAGTTTTTGAGCAACATACATGTATATATAAAAGATTAGACTATGATGCTTAATATTTCTCTTTCAAATATGTATATCCAAAAGAACTATAAATTAATACTAGAATAATTCCATTAACAAATAGTCCACATTACTTTATCATATTTTCTGAAACTTTTATCCATCAGGCTACTGAATAAATCACCTAAATAAATAATAAAAAAAAGTTGACTGGAACACTGCTAAAAAAAAAGAAAAAAAAGTAGCTACATGAAATAAAATTTTAATAACATTCTATAAGCATGCAAAAAAGTATTTATAAACCTCAGTGAAAACCTAAACCTGGTAAGTCTTGTCGATAGATATTGATGGTTTTGTATTATAAAAACATCTTAGCCTTTCAAAGGTTGTGCTCAAGCTTTACTTGTGTTGATACACAGCATTTTGTAACTTTGATAAACCACAGTGGCCAAAAAAAGTCGAAAGTTATTGTACAAATGACTAATGATTATGAGATGGCTAATAAATCTCAGAGACTAAAATATTATAACTTAATTAAGAAATGGATAATGATTGAGTCCTTCACTAAAAGAAGTGACGACCTGTTAACTCTTGTTCAACAAATGAATATTACTGCATGTCCACTGGCAAAAATCTTGGCCAAGAATATTCATATTTATTTAACAAGTAAATTATGACTTTCAATTCACTGATAAAATCAGGGATCCATTAATAAACCACACAAAGTTAAAGTGTTACAAGATGTTTAAAAAATGTAAGATGGTTTTGTGTTTGCTGGAAAAGATAGCAAATTTAATGAGTTTTACAAATCACCTAAGATGCCTTGATAAAATAAGAATAGCCTCCAGAAAAAAATGAAATACTGTCTAATGGGGTATGGTATTGGTTAACTAAAAGTGCATTAGCACAATTTCTTTGAAATTACTTTCAGTGCTATGAACATCTTAGAACAAAAAACTCAAAGCCGAAGCTGTTTACTTATCAAAGGATAAGATTATTGTTACACTTGTGGTCCAATATTGTCAAAATTATCAGAAATTTTGATGAACATGAATTCTGTCCTTATCAATTTAAACACAATTTGGGAAGTTATGTCTACAGTGCTGTTAGCTATCTTTTTTTTTTATTAGTACAATTACATAAAGTAAAGAACACTACATTGTTTTCATAATTTTGTTCATCAATTTAGGATAATACATTCAAGTATCTCTACTTCCCTCTGTTTATCACTCAATAATACATTATTGGTGTAATCAGCACTGTTCAGTCTTACTCTTAACTGTGACCATGATGACATTAGTCTGATGTATCAGATGCAAGGCACTCACAAATACAGTTTGAGCTCTGAAAAAAACAAAAAAGGCAATCTATCAAGCAGAACTCGTTTCCTATGGAATAACACAATAGAAAATGTTTATTTTCTACACTAAATAATATAAACAGTTAGAAACACTAAGAACCTGCATGTAACAGAAAATTTAACAAGTGAAAATTGGATAGCTTGAGAGATTTATTGGAATCATTAAATGAAGTATATGTCTGACAAGCATACTTTCAGGTTTAAAATTCCACATGATCTCAGTTTTAACAAATTCAGAAATTTCCTAATTTTACAGAATGGTGTGCTAATACTGATGCCTAGGGTTAATGGTTTCATGTAGGTTATAAATTACAGCACAAGAAACATCTGGACCCAATAAACCAGTCTAACTGATTTAGTCCTTCTTAAAGAATAGTGAACTTCACTTAAAAATCTGAGAATAAAGAAACACTTCACACACTTACTGTCCCTCCTTAAAAAAGTCTTTCAAGGTGTTGCTAAAGCGTTTAGAACACTTCACAAACTCTTTCTTTCGTTGCTCCAAAGCCTAAAAAAAGAAAAAATACTTCTTAGATGCTAATAGTAACTTTCAGGTAACAGAAACTCACACTATACTATGCCACAATTTCTAAATAGAACAATGTTGTTTGTTTGTAATCAGTTGTATACTGTTACAAACTTAGAGCTACTTTGGATAAATGAATGTAGTTTCATGTTACAATTTGAAGTCATTGCAGAAAAGAAAAAAGCGTAATTGAGATTTATTTTGATTTTTTTTTGGTGGTTACAAGGTTTATCCTAAGTAGCTCTAAGTTTGTAACAGTATACATCTATTTATAATTAAATTTTATTGCTTTATTGCCCTCTGAACTGTGTCTAACTACTATCTATAAAGTTTTACTGAAAAAAAAAGGTTGAAATGCATTTAGGAGGTTATGGGGATTACACAAAAGAAATTTGCACATGAACTATTCAAAACAGATACTCAATATATTCATGGACAAGTCTTTATTTTATTTTATTAAAAATACTTCACTAAAAAAGATGATATTTTGTATGTGAAAGACTTGTAATATTAACTGAAAGACTGCCAAATTTTATGAAGATATACACATTATATTGAGAGGTATAAGTAATAAATCTATAAAGTGTTTAAATGAGTACAAAAAGGTCACATGGTTGGTCAATTTGATACAGCCCATACTGAGAGTTAATCAAATTAAAAAAACCTTTGATTAATTTTTTATAGGAAGTTAACATTTTCTTACACTGAAAATGTATTTCTGATAGGTACTTACCTCCTCTCACACAAAGTCTATCTCATTTATTGACTACCATCTAAACATTGCTAAAAGAATTTTAATAACCAATGCACCAGTCTTTATACCACGCCGGTTTTGTGAAATTTCTGAACATGTAAATATTATGTGACCATGCTCCACCAATAGTATTGCTCCACCTATAATGGGGTTTCTAGCTCCCTCTGCTATTCCTGCTCAATCCTCAATTTGGAGAATTGGCAGGTACTAGAATAAAAACACCAGTTTTAGTGGGGAGGAAGCATGAGAAGTGTGTGACAGGAGATAAGTACCTATCAGAAATATATTTTCAGTGTAGGAAAATGTTAACTTCTGAAATGGACTTACCACTTCTCACACAAAGGCTAGAATCCCACATTGAAAAGGTGCAGTGCCAGTGTAGGTGCACAAAGAACAAATGAAACAAAAAGCAACTGCCCAGAACGAACGGGTGTGTTCGGAGATGAAAATGAAGAAGACTTCTGAAACAGGATTGGTCTTTATCCAGGAATTAGAAAAGTAACATAAAATGGTCATAAAAAGGTAATGCTTGCACAATTGTAAGAGCATTAAGAAGATGCAAGCTGTATCAACATATAAAGAGAAAAAATACGTAATAACTATAAGTGGTTAGGGCAAGTGGACCATGTTATTGATACCCAACAACACCAACTGTAAGTAAACAGAGTGTTGTATGTCACACAACTGGAATTACGAAAAGGAAGTGAACAAATGGTCATAAGCTGACAAACTCCCAAAACCATGGTGGAAGCAAGAAACCAAATCTGGCATTACAGGATCTTGGTGTTACCTCGACTCATCCATAAGAACAGGAAAAGCTGTAACAGGTATTACAGGCAAAATCAAAACTCACTCAACTGTAAATGAAGGGTAGAGACATTCTGTACTTGGAATTATGAGGAGAACATTCTGTATTCACCAACCCATAGGAACAGAGTGCAGGCATCCCATTGCCAGTATTACGAGGCAGACGAAGTCTCTCAAACCCAACCATAGAAGTAGGAAAGAACCTTCTGCAACCAGAATTAACAAGATGAGAGGTGTCTACTACACACAACAATAGGAGCAGGGCATTGTCATCCTGAACCTGGAATTATGAGGAGGTCACATGTAGGCTGGCCCCAAATAATATTTGATCATTGGGTATAATGAGTGCAGTCTGTCCAGGCAGGAAACATCCAGGGGAAGTTCCAGAAGCCAGCTTCACCCTCTTCTCCTGAGTGGATAAATGAGCATAATTATAGTAACAAACAGGAGGAAGCTTCTATGGTCCACCACCTTAATGACTGGGAACTAAGAGTGGTAAGAACTACCATGCTACACTTGAAGAAAAAGGGGGGAGGAGGGTAAAAAGGCAGTGGGGAGTCTGGATGAACATCACACACGAGGCAGTGAAATGGGTGACTGTGTTTCCCTATTTTGAAATGCAGACCAAACCCTATTATGGAATTAAAAGGTTGGCAGGAATGGGCAAAAATCCCCTTCTGCTTTACTCTTGAAGTTCATGAGTGATGGTTCACTAAAGATATAATTATAATACATAGATATACACCTACAGCACTGGGAAATTGTCCGGTGGTCTTACAGAAACACCCCATCTCAACTGTGAGCATTATATAGTTGCTGCATTTAGTGTGGGTCTGAGACAAAGCATGCCTGACCAAGCAACCCACGCCAAAAGGTGGGATCCGTAAAGAAGATGTTAAGGTTAGGGAAGCTGAAAAGAAAACATAAATGAAAGGAAGCAATAAGACTTACCAAAGGCAAAGGCAAATGAACGTGTGTATCATCCCCACAGGAGGAAGATGATATCCATCAGAGGAAGACACAGCCAGAACTAGCAGATAATGAGCAATGAAGGTATTAGGAGTAGTTCACATTTCAGTCAAACAATCTCCTTCAATGGATGATGAAAGTGAGCATCAAAAGACATAGTAATGTGATGAATTTGATGTAAAGAGACATTGAGGAGACAGCAATCTTCCACGGACAAGTCCAAATAAGCCAGCCAGATGAGTTGACAAACCCAACCAATGAGATTAACAGGTTACAGAACACTGGAAACTGAAGGGTTCCAGGGAATAAGGAATCAGGAAGTAACCCTGAAAGGAGGCAGAATGTGTCACATAACACTTGAAGGAATGAACTGGACAAGGAAGCCTATCTGGATCGGAATGGAAGTAAGATGAGAAAAGAAATGTAAGGAAATGGGTGTGAAAGCCAGAACACAGTTACTGGCAGCATAGGTCCTAGGGAGGAAGGGCTGAGGTTGGGCTAGAAGATGACATAAAAGGAATAGTAAGGATGTGAGTAATATGAATGGTATAAAAATCTGAACGATGACAACCACAAGCAAGGAGGAGAAGGAATTATATTGTAGAAGGTAGAAGGAATATTAAGCCAAAGCTGAAATTTAGGATTGGAAAGGACCACATTGAGATCCCAGTAGGCAAAGGAATGGAAAGGAGGAAAAGGGGAGACAAAACCCAGAAGAATCAGAAGAAGATAGACAAGGCTGCTTGAGAGCTGAACATGGATGAAGTGGACAAGCCTTTGACAAAATACCAGGTGAAGAATAGGGAAGGAAGACAAAGAAAGGGTGGAAAGGACAGAAACCAAGATGAAAAGACCAAAGTTGGAGGTATACTAACATCAGTGGGAAACAGACATGGAAGAAGGTCTCATGGATCGGGAAGGAAGGATAGAAAATTTGGAGTCAGACCACGGGCTGAAACAACAGACAAGACAAAACCATGTATGAAGATGGGGAGTGGTGACATCTGTGGAAAAGGGGCCACTTTGTGATGAGAATCTTGTTGGAAGATAATCAAACCACCACCAGGTGGAAGGAGCCAGAAAGTGATAACAGTGGGCTCAAAAAAAAAGAGACTCAGTATCTGAAAGCACAGAGATCAGGAATCGGTACCCACTGGTTCAGTGAAATAAGTGACCACAGTTGAGATGTGGGAATTTACCATCACCACCCCCTGTAGAAGAGGAAGGAGGTTTGACAAGGCTCGAGAAAGGTGATATGGATAAAGACTGTGTGATTGACAACAAACCAGAAATACCCCAAGAGTTGAAGTAAGAACCTCAGTGCCCTAAAGAGGAATTTATGAACAGATGTAAATTTGGAGGAGGCAGAGTAAGCAGCACCACAAAATTAGGGATCCAAGGAGAAGTTCCACAGATCAAGGAGTGTTCAACAACGGGAACACATATGAGGCCGACCCATGTGAATGAGAGCTTCCAAGGAAGTCCAGATTTCCAAAGAGATAGAATATAGCGAGCTGTAAAAAGGAGAGGGGCATGTGAACTGCTTGCTCTAAACCTGAAGACAAAGAAGAGAAAGCTGGGCTTTACAGAGGTTGGAAGAACCCCCCCAGATTTGTTATTGAGGAGAGTCAGAACAGACTTCCTCCTTTGTCATATGGTAATCAATCTGTTCTGCATCTCGTAGGAGCAGAGGAGTGTGAACTCTGGTCTGAGAATGGGAGAAAGCAAGCAGGAGCCAGTCAAACTAGAGAAGGAAAAATGTAAGAGTCATGGAGTGAAGAAGTCGGGCAAAAATTTGTATTCCTTGACAAAACATGTAAAGAGCTGTCTAGGATCATGAATGTAGGAAAAGGAATCAAAGCTAAGCTCAGCCTTACAAACGGGAAAGAAACAAACACTTCAATAAAGTAACAAGGCAAAATTTTAAGTCCCACACTGATGAAAATTAGGAAAGGACAGCGCAATTGAACACTCATGAAAAAATTAAGATAGAACAATGAATAGGTATTACTAGTAGTAACAATATGTAATGTATCAACTATCGAAATATACACAGTAAAAAAAGGGCTGACAAACATCAAATGGGCAAAGTATCAACATTTTTCTAGTCCACAAAGAATGTAAAAATAATGATTGTGCCAAATAGCAGAAAATAAAGAGAAAACACAATAATGATTAATATCTAAGGTACCAGACAGAAAATGTAACCTGGATGACAAGGACACAGAATTAAGTCTTATACTGACTAAAATTAGGAGGAAAAGGTGCATACTTAACAATGACAAAAAAATTATTCAATGAGAACAAAGAATTACTTGTTACTAGTAGTAGTGATATGGAAGGTTCAAACCAACCAAACATACTCAACTGATAAAGTACTTATATATAAAATGGACAAACTATCTAAATGTACCCAGTTCACAAAGTATGTAATAAAAACAAACGTGTAAAGAGATAAAATTTACTGAGAAAACACATAAATTAGCAATATCTAACATATCATTCCACGATATTAACTGAGATGACAAAGGTCATGTAATGAAGTCCAACACTGACATAAATGGGGATGAGAAGGAACATAGGTAATAACTACATTAAAAAAAAATACAAATTGAACAATGAATTATATGCTACTTGTAGTAATGATAAGTAAGGGAAAAGCTATCGAAACATACCAAGTTAATAAAGTACTTATAAATAGGAAATGGACAAACAATTTAAATGAACCTAGTCCACAAAATATGTAATAATAACAAACGAGCAATCCGACAAAAATTACCTAGAAAATACCAAAATAAGCAATAACTAACTTACCGTACAATGAAAATAACCTAGACGACAGAGGACACTGAATTAAGTAACATACTGATGAAAAATGGGGATGAGAAGGCACATGGCTAACAATGACGAGAAAAAAAAAGTACATAAACAAAATGAATTAGATGTTACAAGTATTTAAGGTAGGTAACAAACACACAATAGAAATATACCTAGGGAAAGTACTTATTATTCTATTGCCACGGGTATCCTTTATTGTGCATGACACAAGGTTTTATGGTCTTACATTCAAAATTTTATTAAACTACTTTTTGTTTATGTTATACCTATTAGATTAGCATAAAATCTTAGCTAATAATCCATATTTTAATAGTATATAAGTTTTAAGTTCTTCAAGGAATAATACATTAAAAGTTATTATATAATATAATCAGAAATTGAGTTTATGCAAAATTTTGCATTATATAAGTTTGTTTGTAATTAAGCACAAAGCTACACAATGGGCTATCTGTGCTCTGCCCACCACAGGTATCGAAACCTGGTTTCTAGCATTGTAAGTCTGCAGACATACTGCTGTGTCACTCGGGGTGCATTATATAAGCACTGAAAATAAATATTTTTATAAAGTATGTAAAAATTTGGTATTATGGTTGAAAATGCAGATTATTAGAAAGCATATGTTAAAAAACATTTTTTAAAGGCTACCACAACCACTGAATATAACATTCAGGGGACAACAAGAGGCCTGTTGGTCCAAAGTTGTCCCACCTATATATAAAAAAAAAAAAAAACTTCCTTAATTTACCACATCCTCCAAATCTAAAGGCAACCCATTCCAAAGGCAAACCACCCTCTTAGAAAAGTAAAACTGTCTAGGCTAAAGATGATCCCTAGGTTTATACTTGTACCATTCTCACCACTAAATACCAAAAAACTATGATGATGCACTGATACTATCAATTGCCTTAACAATTTTAAACAGCTGAATCAGATCCCCATTAACTTTAAATACTAATGCTGAAAAAAATAAAATTACCAGTATATACATTTACTGATATTTGTATATTCTGAAGTCTTAACCTGTCCTTATATAACAACCTTTCCATCAAGGTATTACCGTAGTAGCCTTTCTTTGAGCATCACCCTTTTCAACAAATCAATATTTTTCTGACTCTCCTTATGTCTACTCTGTGTGTTGAATGGGTACATCAGCCAGTATTAAAATATTTCTGTAAATACAATACAAAGTCCTCTTTGCCCTACAACTTGCAAAAACACACTGCTTCACTGCTTGGGTGGCTTAAGAGACT